CATTCTGTCTCCACTGCAGCAGGACTTTATATTCTATACTGGACATTATTTCTGTTCAGTGATGAGACATTTGTTTGAGCAAAGTCAGACCGCACTGTCCTAATGAAATCATTAATAATCAAGGCCTGATCATATTTTATTGTGGTCAAATAAGCGTAATCTAGAGGCCTTTGCCTTTCATATAAGCCACTTCTGATACCAAATGATCAACTAGAAGTCCAGTTATTATTTGTTGTTTATAAAACTTGGATAGCCGACAAGACTTTTGTCAGGTAGTGTAGATAGAATTATTGGAATTTAAACGTACTACATTCACCATTTGTATGATCACATGACCAAACCCACGTCAGTTAATTGGGTCGATTCACATTCATGAGTTCTCCTGCGTCACATTACGGGATCACCAGAGGTATAGTAGGTCGTCTTACAAACTGTTTTTTGAATACTATGAATTCACTGTTTTTAACGTTATATATACCAGGGAAGTATGTGATTTCAGACATGGCCTACACCAGTGATGGGCAAACACGGTCCTGGAGCGCCGGTGTCCTACACAGTTTAGCTCCAACTCTAATCAAACACACCTGCTTACAAGTTTCTAGTGATCTTGAAGACACTGATTAGCTTGTTCAGGTGTGTTTGACTAGTGTTGGAAGAAAACGCTGCAGGGACACCGGCCCTGGAGGATCAAGTTTGCCCATCCCTGGCCTACACACTCATTCATTCGTTCATTTTCTTTTCGGCTTAGTCCCTTTATTAATCAGGGGGTCACCACAGCGGAATGAACCGCCAACTTATCCAGCATATGTTTTATGCAGCGGATGCCCTTCCAGCTGCAACCCATCACTGGGGAACACCCATACATTCTCATTCAGCTTGACAGAGTGTGTGCAACGTGTCTGAAGAGCGAGGAGGGATCCGGGGGTGAGAAGGGTGCGCGACTTATTTGAGGACCGGGAGGGAAACGCGCGATTTCCGGGGGATTATCACTCGTTTGCGGGCATTATGAGTCCCGCAAATGCATACAGACTCCCAGAACTTCCAGGAGACTTGGGATATCTGAATATCACGTTTAATAACGATAGTGAGATGCAATCCAGCGGTGCATCCTTGATAAACTGTTCGACCTGCACTGCTCTCTGGAGCTCAGAGGAGCGCTTGACATGTGTATTTTTCGGGAAATGGTTTGCGACGGGGCGGGGTGGAGGATTGGCGATCCCAGCTTAGCATCATGTTGTCTATTGGCCATCAGCGATGACATCGTCTATCCACCTAACCCTTTTACCCAATTCACCTGTAACACATGTCTTTGGACTGATGGGGGAAACCAGAGCACCCGGAGGAAACCCACGCCAACATGGGGAGAACATGCAAACTCCACACAGAAATGCCAACTGGTTGAGCCTAAACCAGCGACCTTCTTGCTGTGAGGCGGCAGTGCTCCACTGCGCCACCACACTCAGAAATAAAGGTACAAAATCTGTCACTGGGCGGTACCTTTTATGTCATACAGGTGAATATTAATAGCTTTAGGGTACACTTTTGTACATTTAATATAGTATGAGATACACATTTGTACTTTTTAGGGGTTAATAAGTAGGCTTCGATACTAGTTTTAGTATTTTGGTGACTGTTGCTTTAAATTCAAATGAGGTTGTGCTCTTTTTAAAAAAGGGCGGAGCTACAAATACCTATGTGTCAGCATAGTGGCAGATTCAAAAACAAGACTAACATCCTATGCTAATGAGGGAGAGATGGTCACTAGTGGGTGGGGCTTTCCCCTTTGATGACACGTACAATTGGAGAATGTCAATCAAAGTGTTTCTGCAGACTGTTTTAATCAGGTGTGATTACATTAAATAAAATGAATACATTTTTACCATTAGAAGCTGGATATATTCACACACTCTTACCACACAACTGTGTTTACACCCCTTATAAAAGTGATTTTTGCATAATAGGTCCACTTTAAGAACAACAATGTGAGCTAACAGTATAAACATAATACATTTTGATTTCACAAGGATTTAAAAAAAAAAAAGAAGCAAATGCGAGACTGAGGGTAACCAGTTTATTATAAACCTGGACTGTGGGGTTTCTGTAGCCTATACGTTTTAAAAGCTCCATCTAAATCTTCAGCTTATCACATGAGGGAATCAGAACGAAGGATAATATTCCTAAAGAGTCAGAGAGGTGATGTTAAACTAGACAAATGGATCCTGTAATATCTGTTAAACACAACAACAGAATTATTGATGGCAAAGGCTTTCAAAGTAATGGAGAACAACATTCATCTGCAACAGATTACATGGCTGGACGCTCGCACTCAATGAAAACCATCCCTCCGCAGTATGAAATCTGCTGTAGTTTGTATTGTTGGCTATAGTGACAAATGACTGTGTTGTTTATGCAATGAGACGCCACCAATAGCATTAATTATGGAGATGGATTTGCATTGTGACACTCTAGCAGTGTGGTAGATTTGATTGACTGCGGCTAAAGTTAATATTTAAAATTAATGAATAGAATATAACCAAAATAAAATAAAAAGCAGGCTTAAGTAAATAAATAGAATAAAAAATATGAATAAAATAAATAAAATATAAATAAAATAAATGATTAAATGGAATATAAATAAAATAGAATAAAGAGCAGGCTTAAATAAATAAATAAATGAACAAATAAACAAATAAATAAATAGAATAAATACCAGGCTTAAAAAATATTAAATAAGTAAATAGAATAAAAAGCTTAATTAAATAAATAAAATAAAAAATAGATAAAAGAATAAAAAATATAAATAAAAAAAGATAAATAAATATAATAGAAAAAAATAACAAATAAACACATAGAATAAGAAATATGAATTAAATAAATAAATAAAATATAAATAAAATAAGTGCAGGCTTACATAAATAAACAAATAAATAAATATAATAGAAAAATAAATAAAAACAAATAAATGAAAGGATTTTTAAAATATATTAATAAATAAAATATAAATAAAGTAAACAACAGGCTTAAATAAAAAAAATAAATAAAATAAAATAAAGAGCAGGCTTGAATAAATAAATACATAAACAAATAAGTGAATATATACAAATAAGCAAACAAACAAATAAAAAATAAACCAAATACAAAAAATTAATAAATAATATATAAATAAAATAAACATCAGACATAAACAAACAAAAAAAATAAATAAAATATAAATAAAATAAGAACAGGCTTAAAAAATAAATAAACTAATGAACAAAATAAATAAATATGTAAACAAATAAATTAATATATACAAATAAGCAAACAAATATAAATATAAATGTATTTATTTATAAAACGAAGTATAAATAAAATAAACATCAGACTTAAACAAATAAATAAATATATATAAATAAAACAAATGGCAGGCTTAAATAAACAAATATACAAACAAACTAACAAATAAATAGAATACAAATATAAAATAAACAAACAAATAAAATATAAATACAATAAACAGCAGACTTAAACAAACAAACAAACAAATAAAATAAAATATAAATAAAATGAGAGCAGGCTTAAATAAATAACAGCAGGCTTTATTCATAACTGATTTATTTTCAGGATTTTGTTTTTCTGGCGGCGCTCATTAACAATGAGCAGGGCCAGATGGAATCTGCGGACATTTTTTGCTATTTCTGCTGAGAATTTTGGTAAAAATCTGCGGATTTCTGTGGAATTATTTTGGGAGTATCCAGCAGAGTATTATAACTAAAAACCTACTCTGATTTTCGAATTCTATGAATTCGGACATACTACTCGGCTCGCATACTGATTTTAGCATACTATATAGTATGGAAGTATACGGTTTCGGATGCAGCCTTGGTCCAGTCATATGTCGTAATTCACTGCGGCATGTGGGCCAAGCAAAAGCTGATTGTGTATTGATATAAATTGCTCTTTTTGTTCTTTGCATTTGGAAACTGTACCCCACCTTTTCTGGCACTGTGGTTATGTTAAAAAGCTCTGGTATGATGCTTCTGTTTTAATAAAGAAAAGGGTACTCTTTAACTTTAATTTGCATTATGAAACTGTAATTTTTGGGTATTTTAATTATGATAATTTGAATAATGAAGCTTTTGTTATTAACCTATTTATTTTGCTAATTAAGTTTCATATTCATAAATGTAAATTTTCCAACAAAAAACCTTGTTTTACTGTGTTTTATAAGGAACTGAAAAATTACTTTTGCACTATTCAGCATAGTGCTAATCGAAAGGCCATTAAAACGGTCCAACTGTGCTCTAGTTTCAATATCTTTGATTAATGTAAAGGTCCTGCTTGTCTATATTTGTAAGAATTTTTAGTTAAGTATTTATACTCTTATTTTTATGTTTGTTTTATTTTATTTTATGTTATTTAATGTATTGTTGTTATCATTTACTTTCTATCACCCTGGCATTGTTTTGTTTGCTGTATTGTCATGTATATGTTGTTTAAAGCATAAAAAAAAATAAAAAAAAATAAATAAATAAATAAAAAAAACAAAAGCTGATTGTGTGGGCTTGAGATATTTTGCAATGTGGGTACTCTTGAGTACTTTTGAAAGATCTACTTGTTACTCATACTTTAAGTATTATTTACAACAGATACTTTTTACTCTACTTGCACTACATTTTTGGAAAGTAATAGTATTTATACTTGAGTATGACTTTTTTAGTACTCTTAGTTTCCACCACTGTTCACAGTCAATTAAATAATGCTAGTCTTGTTTTGAAGTCACACTTACATCCGATTTCAAACCCGACATTCAAAGTAGCGGTAAATAATACAGTCATAAGTAGTGTCACAAGTTGTCATTATTCAAAATTGAATGAATATGCGAATATAAAACCAACTTTACCTCAAAGTGTGTGTGTGTGTGTGTGTGTGTGGAGGCAGAGCTGCGCTTTTAAACCCGCCCTCGAGATGGATCTCATTTCCCCTAAAACCTCCCATTTTTCGTCGGTCCCTCCTCCCTCCTCCGCCGACCATCTCTCTCTCCGTCTGGACCTCTATTCCTGCTCCAGTCGCCCAATCATGGAGCTCGCGGCGAGGTGTGCGCTCCTGCTCTCCAGCTTCTCCCTGCTCGCAGCGCTCGATCTGGACGCGATTGAGCCCGGCTACTATGTGGAGACCAGCAGCCCATCAGACCTGATCGACTATAAAGATCCCTGCAAAGCTG